ACAAAGTGGTCATAGTGGTTTGGAGTAAATCATTAATGGTGACAAATTAAGCACAGTTCCTTACTAAATGTACCATTTGACATTAGCATGGTGGATTTGTTTTAACTGGATATTTCTAAATGTACTTTACTCTCTTCCTCCTGCAGTGCAAGACCCTGACGAAGATGCATTACGACGATCAAGGTAGGCAACTAGCAGCAAACCATTACGGCCATTTTAATTGATAACCAATGCCGAAAGCTCTCAAGCCTAATCAATATGCACAGTATAAAACTGGATTTTAATATCACCTTCATTTGCTATTGGGTTTACAACTGGCAACATTCAAAAGACCCACACAGTAATGAGTACCTAATGAAACCACACAAGTAGTTTGAACAAATTCAGCTATATATCATGTTGTGGCAGTGCTGAAATCATATGAGCAATTTATTTGGATATTATTATTTTTACACACTCATTTAACTAAAAATAACAAAAAAGGCCTTTACTAGTACATCTGATATCTGATGTTTGAGACCTGTGTGAAGTATAGGTCTATAAATTAATTCTATGTATGTGCGTCTTCAAATCTCTGACGATAGGCAAATATGGAGTGATTTGAACAAAGGCAGGAACAGAGCATTAAAGTAGGGAAGCCTTAAGATGTATCATCATACAAATGCATGTTTCAATAGACTATACACCATGACACTGTTAGGCCAAGCTGTTACTGGGTATAGAAGCACTGATTGTGGATCACTACAATTGCCTAATGTGTCTAATGTTGGCAAAACTTCAAAAGTGGAAAGTGCCACTTCTTAGTAAATACTGTGTTTACTAATGGATTTAAAGGAACACTCTGGACACCATAACATCTTCATCAAACTGAAGTTGTTATTGTACCAGGAGATCCCTGGGGCTTCATTACTTTTAGGGGTTAAACCTTTCATTTTTGGGATTTAAATATTGAAACAATGCAGAAACATTAATTAAAATGCAAATTTCCATTTTGTTTTTAAACTTTGCACATGATCGGGAGGGTGGGGATTTTAGATTGTAACACGGTCCCCTCCCACATCTGTGTTACATAAATATTATTTATATATTGGGTCAAAAGAAGACGCAGCAAATCAAACATTTGGCAGCCGTGCCTCAGTCTTTGGAAGTATATCGTATCTGTTCTAACACCATACTTCATCACCATCAGGGCTAGAGTCTATTAGATGGAATAAGCTTATCTCATCTAATAAAATTCCACTCGTATTGTAAAGATTGGTGGAACTCCATTTATAAGTTGGGATTCAGAACCAGCCCTATATTATTTAAGTGGATCCCTGTTGATAACAACGGGCATAATAAGTTATGTATCCCATGTGACAAAACAAGTAAGAAACTTCACTCCAATTGCTTAGTAGCAGTTCTTTGTTTCTGAAACACCTCCTTAAAGCCTTTATATCAATAGTAACTACAGTAAGAAAGACAAACAAGTACAAGTGCATCCATGCTTGGAAGGCCTCATTTAGATTGATTTCCACCAAGTTAACCTGCATAAATGGAATGAATATTTGAGGCCATATATAAGTTAAGACTTTTGTTTGTATATACATTTTTATTGCTTAGCCTAAATTAGTGGCCTAAGCGAAGGAACATGTATTGTTCCAGCTTAAAATGATCATTCATAGAGTGGACAAAAAGTCTCCAGACTGAAAGAAGAATTTAAAAGAAAATCTGTTTTAAGAAGACGCCAATTATGAAAATGCCTTGACTTAAAAGATTAGCATTATCAGATATAGGAATAAGGGAGAATGTACCACCTTAAAAAAGAATAAAATGGGTGTGTCATTCTAAAAAAGTGGGCATGGTCCAAGAGATCTAAAATTAAGCTGTAACAGCATCCTTTTCGAGGTGTCCTTAGAAAAACGTCACACATTGTGAAAGGGTCTTATGTGAAAACCTTCTGGACTTGCCCACTAACAGAACATAATGATCGAGCCAGTCAGCGCTAATTATATTATTATTATATAATTAATTCTCACTCTTCCATCATAAAACAGGGTTATTCAGGAAACTATAAATTGCTGGGAATTGAATAGAGATTTGAGAATTTTAGGCTAAAGTTTAAAAAGAAAATTAGGATTTTCAAGCTCAGTTATTTTCCAGTTATTTTCATTTGCAAATCCCTGGTAAACACTAGGAAAGTAAAAAATATTGGCAATGTGTTTGGACACCTAGAAGGCAGTCACATGCTTATGAAACAGTCCAAAAAATAAACTAAGACACATATTAAAGAGACAGACAGACAGATAGATAGATAGAAGATAGATAGATAGATACGTTAGATGTATATTCCAGGATTAAAGGGTATGCAGTACCTTCCTGTTCAAATATCCAAATAAATTGCCATCTCTTAAGCAGGGGAGCAAAGGTCACGATCCCTAACCCCTTTCTTTATTCCTCCTTTTCTTTTTCTTTCTCTCTGTTTCTCCATGCCACAGGGAAAAGTTTGAAACGGAACGTAACAGCCCACGCTTTGCCAAATTGCGCACCTGGCATCACGGCCTTTCGGCACAAATCCTTAATGTTAAAAGCTAAATGCCCACGTGTCACACGATATCTATTGAAAGGCAATGAAGCATACTAAATTGTACTGAATCATTATGCATTAAACAATTTGCCATATACATAAACCTATAAATATATAAATAGAAAACATAGGGGGATGTGTTATTGCAGTGCCTTTGATCATAAATTTCCTGTTTCTAGCCTCTTAACCCACCACTGTCACTCCAAAAAAAAAGCAAAATTAATAATGCTTGTAAAGATATAATTACTCTTTGCTATATGTTGTATCTAGGACTTTGGAATTTAAAAAAACAAAGATAAAGGCTGTTAGAAATGAAAAAAACGAATCTCTTGTAATTTGATTTCATTTAAATAAATAAAGATAAAACTAACATTTGTCAGGTTTTCGTTATCATTGTATGTGCTACTGGCCTGGAAATTAGAATGTTGAGGTCATTTATGTAGGCTTAGGTAGGGGTGCATATCTGCTATGCAGGTCCATGATGGAATCTGGTTTGGTTGCACATTCGTGTTTTGGGTTTTGCATCGTTATGTTCTTACGGTGTGATGCATGACTAAAAAAATAGATTTATTTTTGCCTTGTAGTCTTATCTATGGCGTTTTGTGATCACACAATAATTGTGGGTTAAAAGAAAAAAAGGTTAACAGGAATATAGCTGGCCAGCTTCTCATTTACTATGAAAACCCAATGTTCTTCAAGAGGTCACGTAACTTTCTGGGTGCCAGAAGGCTAACCAATGTACTCTTGTGGAACTTAAATGATATATTTTTGTAGGCAGTGTTTCATCTGAGTTTACTATCACCATTTATGGGATAAAATCAACCATTTGGTTTGCAGATATCTGTACATTTTAAGTCCTTCCAGTGGTTGTTGAGATTCATAATTTTGAAGGACTCGTTTGTTTGGCTTTTGGGACGTTTTAGCATTTCTGTTTGTGTGGTGTGATATTCTGGTAGAAATCTAGACTTTGAATATGCTACACAACAACTACACTTCAGCTTAAAATATTTCCCTGACGTTAATATATATAACACTAGATTTTGACAAATTACAACACAGTGGAATGCATTTTCTAAAAAGCTACCTGGCTTGTGTAGTATGGTGAAAATGCTACGTTGTGTTGTATTTTGTATGTTTGTCAAAGGATTGTTATTTTTAACACTAAGACTTTTCTGAATACTAACACATCACTATTGTTTTGAAGAATTAAGAATGAGCCTCAGTAGATTTTTTTTTTTTAATGTTGTAAATGTTTGTTGTGACAAATATCGGGGTCATTTATTTCTTTGCAATTTAATATATTAGGACTATCAGGGTCATTTTAAAAAGCTGTTTATATGTCCTACTAAATAGCTAGGATGTTGTCCATGTAATGTAAGATACTGATTTTAAAACCAGCTTTTACTATTGTTGTTGCCTCTAAGCATTAATTTAACATTTACATTGTTTATTGCTACTGCTAATACATTGATGTATCTATAGTGGCACTTTTTTGTGTTTGTGAAAATAAAAAAGATTAAATAAAAATCAATGCTGTTTTCGTTTATATTTATAAGTAGAATATTAATAGGGTAAGAATTTAAAAAGAATAATTTCAAAAAAAGGCAGTGTATCGAAATGGTCATTTTCATTAAACTGTTATAGTGCCAAATCACTTATTTTTAACATAAGAAGCATTTTTGCTATGTAAATATGTTATCCATTTCTGACACCGGTAATGAATAAGGGGGCTGAGTTTCATGTACGTTACCCCAGTCTCGACCTTAGTTTTCTAAATTATAGGATAGCCAATGCATGCACTAGTGTGATACTCATACATCCCAAATGTCCTTATGTAGTAGAGACAGTCCCTATTTTGGGCTCAAATCCCTCTGTCCCTGTTTTCTATCATAATGTTCCTGTTTTCTAGGAGCACCACATTGTCGGTGTGTCTGAGTGCAATAATACTCCCAGTAATGTGTCTTTAAACTAGGAATCACTCTATAAATACAATATATTTTTCTTTTTTCCAAACTGCATTTTAGGTACATAAATTGTTATTAATACCGCAACTAAAATTTCTCAGAACAGCCCTGACCCTGGCCATACCCCTAAAAAATGAAAGTCTCCCTCTTTGTCCATCTGTATGAAGACTGGGTAGGGAAGCAGGAAATAATCAGAGCTTTATTAATAATTCGGAAACCACAATAATAGCAAACAACGCCATGTTGCTAAAGTGACATATAAAAGCACTGCCCTGTTAAATATAAAGTTGTTTACTAGTATAAAATAGACTTCCTGGTCCTGAGGAGCCAAGGCACTGAATAATATTACATTAAAAAGCCTGGGTTTCATGATACAGCTCACAGAGGCAATGCATTTTTTACATTGACCTTAAATGAAAGTAACTTTTCATTTTGACTGAAATTGGTCATTTTATGATGCCATGTGACAGTAGACATGAAAAGTATTTTTTTTAAAGTAATTTAAAATGTTTTACTATTATCACATACTAGGGGTTCCCTAAATAATGTTGATATTAATATATAAGAGTAGATAAATAATTTTTTGTTTGGACCCGATTGAACACTTTTTTTGTCAGTGTGGAGGCAGCCATCTTGCAATTTCCTTGCAATTATTTAATCTCTTGTCGATAGTTATTCATTAGAAAAAGTGCTTGGGAGAGCATATGATATCAGCAGCCAGTCAGAGTCTGAGATTTGGAGAGTAGCTCCCCGGATCCCACTATTCAGGAAACAGGAAGTGGTTAGTTTTACTCTCGTATGGTCCACATGATAGCAGCAAACTTTTCTCCTTCTCCAATTATACTTTTTTCAAAAGAATGGCCATTTTACTTTGCAGCAACCACAAGCATATAGATAATGTACAAAGTAACTGAAGTAAAGTTAAATTCTCCCAAAAGTAAACTACTATGCAACAAATATTGTAAGTACTGCAGGACTTTCTATGAAAACATCAAATTTAGCCACTTTTTTAAAAAATGAACACCTGTTAGGGCCTCAACATATAGATGTGTTTGTGTGTATACAGACACCGAGCACTACATCTTGCCTGCAAGCCTGGCTGACATCAAAATTTCAGCTCCTATTGACAGAACCTTTCTCTAACATAATGCATATATGTCTTCAAAGTTAAATTTAAATTAGCAAGCAAGAACTCCGAAATCACTGCTGACAGCTGGGTCTCTGGGGACATACCCAGCTAGCACTAAAAGTAATAACACTTTCAACTCTACACCTGTTATGCTCACTCCAAATTTAGATATCCTAACCGTCTGCTCCATGACACCTACCTTGACCCATGGTGTGTTCAGTCAGACCAATAATATGACAGGGAGAATTCTTAAGCCTTGATCCTCCAGCGTTCCCAAGTATAATTTTAAGAATTCTAAAGACCCAAACTGCGAGGAGAAAACATATAATGAAAAGGAAGTCTTCATATGGCAGATAGTCTAAGATTTATGAAATCATGGTAATTAAATTCTGTCCTGAAGAAGCTGCAGCTAACTCGTGTTCTGGCTTAATGCAGCAAGCGTTTCCCTGCATTAACCAGTCTGCATTAAATTGTTATAATATTTACCTCTTCATTACAGCCCTCCATTCAATTCTACTAACATCTCATGCTGACTACACACACTACTTGTTTTTGATACTATATAATTTGTTCTTAGATGTCCAAACTTTACATAAGGGTGGAGGATAGCTAAACAGCTAGATCACTAGATAGTTCAGCAGACAGACATATAGATACACATTCATACTCGCACTAGTTCTTAACAAGGTATATTATAAATTCAAATCAAGAAATGTAAATATATTCACACTCTACACTCACCAATTGAGGAATTGCGTGCAACCTAAAAGAATTGGGAGAAGATGCCAAATATAACGTACCTTCAAAGAGTTTGTTGTAGTGCAATTGTCTATAATTAAAAGCTTTGTCCAGGTGTTGTTAATGAGTCTAGGTTCTACGGGCAACATAAATATAACTACTCTACTTGATGAATAACGCAGAATTTTTGCCAGTTAGATAAATCCTAAGAACAGGAGAGTTCCAGGACTGGAATTTAGAAGGTTAGACATGTTCAGTAGATAAAATGTACCACGTGGGCAATATATATCGACCCTGCAACACCAAACTCAACAAATAGGTGTCTCGAGCTTTTGCATCCATGAAGATGCTGCAAAGGGGCCAACAATAAACATAAAACAAACCAAAAATCGGCCTTGAAGGTAAAATTGCCTGGTTTGTTATGATATAGGAAAATGGCCTTTTCTGTTGTGGCCTGTGCTTGTATAATTATACTAACATCAAACGTTCCTTCCTCCTTGCTCACAATTCCCACCCATGACTACTACTTGAGCCAGACCTGTCAAACTTGGAGATTGTGCGTAGCTTGCCATGCATGCAGTTGGAGGTTATTTGCACGTGTGTTTTATACACCACCGCTATGCATTGTCTCTCCCAACTTCTTAGAGTTTAGACAATATGTGCTATATTGGGAGGGGAACCTCTGGAACTTTGTTTCCTTGCTTTTGGTGATAATCTTGCACTGTATACATTTATGCCTGGGCATGGAAATACATAGGGTTTGTATAGCTCACTCATGTCTTGACATGCTTCGTTTACATTATTTGCATTATTGACTATCTTTGCTCGTTGTAGCATAGAAAATACATTGCTTTAAAGTAGATCTTAAGACAAGAGGCACCTTTTACTCATCTCAGTGGGAATCCGAGAAAAGTAGTGAATTTTGTTTAATTCTTCTGTTACCCATTAAGTAAAATGATTCAGAAATGTATTGTATATCATTAGTATTTTGTCTGGATCAAGCAGTTTTTATTGCTAATGTTCTTAAAAAACGTATTACATATAGTATAATTATTATATTATTATAAATTATAAATACTAAAACATTAAAATGAAAATGGTTTGCTCTTTTTTTAACAATTGCATGACTATGCAAATCCTAGTTTGTGCCAACGCATTTTGTGTTTATATATATATACATACATCACAAAATAACATGGCAGCATTACCTAAAATCATTTTAGCATCTCGAGAATTTCTTAATATTGTTTGTTTTTGTGCAAATAAAATACTAGTTTTCTTAATCAGTAATCAGGGAATAAGGGACAAGCTTATTTAGCTATTCAGATTTATTGTTGTCTTGTATACCCATATTTGTGTAAACGTACATGAATTAATAGCTACATCATTCGTCTATTTCATCATTAACTGTGTAGATTTCTTTAACTATAACCATTACATAGGTGCCCATATTTATGTTCTACTTTGTTAGCGGGCAGAGCACATTACAGGCATTAAAAGACATGACTGATTCAATGCTTGGTATGGCTGGCTGATTAACCTTAAATTTAAACATACTCAACGTTTCATCTGCACCAGTGTGAAATTCAACACAAGGGAAAAAAATACAAGAGTCACTGAGTTATATTAGGGAATCATTATATAAAAAGTAATTTAAATGTAAAAAATAATAATAATAATTCCTAAATTCCATTTTTTTATAATTGTAAACCGAATAATTAAAAAAAAATCTAAATCTGTTTATTTTGAGGAAGGTTTTCCTTTTCAAATTTAAATGTATCTTTAGTTTACCTCCCTAAAATTTTGCATATAGCCAAAAAAAGGTAATTTTGTACATCAAAGTATCAAAGTACAATTTTCTTTAACATTTTTTTAATAAATAAAATTTGAATTTTTGTTTTTTTATCAGAAAAATATTAGTATGACTGACTCATAAGCTATTTTTAATAATAACTTACATGTTTATATGAATTGATTTTTAATTTTGAAAAAAATATATTTGCATTTCAGGTAAAATAATTGAAACATTAAACATATGATTCTTAGTTCGTTCAGCTCCTATATCTAGTCATTGAAAATTAAGCAGTGTTATTTGTTTAAAGCTTACACTGCATTAATAATCAGAGTTAAAAGAATACAGATTGCATTGGAATATAAATTTACTGTAAATTTAAAATATAAATTACCACAAGCTCAATTGTGAAGTGAGTGAAAACTCAAGTCCTTTTTCGAGTTAGAGAAAAGTTAGGGAAATGGCCATATTTTGCAATAACACTTTAGTTCTCTATTTGTTAGGTCACAATACGTTGCTATATCTACTGTATGTCAAAAAAAAATAACTTAGAGCCATTTTTAGAACAGTCTTCTCGTTTTATGAAGCTCAGGTGCCATGTACAATAAATTCTCTCCCTATGTAAATCTGGCAAGTAGAGTCACGTTGACTTTTTGTAGGCTGATTTGCTACCAAGTGCCTTTGGCGTGGGCTGTTTCGTCTTTTTCTTAAGTGGCTGAGAAAGAGAGACGGGCTCACTTGTCCTGAACATCTATATCATGAATTAAAACATCATGTGTCTTATGAATCCAATAAAAAATATCACTACATCTCTGTGTCCCCTTTTATGTCTTTATGTACCACTTCACATCCACTCATGGACAGAGCTATTTTGTCTGGGTTTACAAACATGCAGTTATCATTTTTTTTTTTTTTTAACAATATACTACAGTTGATACTAGCTAGATATCAAGTATTGATGCAAGCCATTGTGAAAATACAGAATAATGTCACTAGAAAAGCAGTATTGTTCTTAAATACTACCTCATTTATCACCAATGTTAAAAAAAAAAAAAAAATTTTTACTCCCTCCTAATAACAAAACTCAAATAAATACCAATGAAAAGCAGATAGTATTTCCTTCGTCAGTGTTGTCTATTTTTTATACTTTTGTGTAAAGTTTGACCAAATTAAAAGTTTTTACGTAAATATGAAAGTCAAGTAAAATCTATTTGGACCATCCCGTAGCACACAGAGAGGTTATGCGTAAAAGTGGCAGCATCACTCTTAATGCAGCTATCACAGTTTTATATATATTATTTTATACAGAATCTTTAAAGTTTGTTAGCAATTGGAACATTTGAATCCACAACTGTATAGAATATGGGGTAGAGATATTCAAGCAAATAACAAAAGATTTTAAACAGTGCTGCAATATCTCCACACTGTAATTCCACCAGTCTATAATAGCAAACAAGAAAAAAAATAAAAATTAAAAAAATGTTGTGCTTGAAGCCACAATTGTGTAATTGAAAAATTAAATCTAAAATGAAAGAGTTGTGCAGGAACAGAATAGTAAATTACTTAGTCACAATAATAATAATAATAATTAAAAAAAAAACACTTCACCTTAATTAATGAGTTTTGGTGCACAGAGCCTGACCATTTTCTCTGGCAATGTAAAATGTTGCCTTTTCAGAGAATTTCAAAGTTCTTAAAGTTCATCGTCATGATGCACAACATAATAATGCAAAACCTTGTTAATGCTTCTCATGTACAAGCATTGGACTCAGTGCTTCTTAATGAGAAACATTTACATGTTGGAACATGGTAATTGCACAAATGTGCCATACGTCCCCAGTACTTCTCCATGAGAAGCATTGGATTGAATCGAGAACTGGATTGCACTCATGAGAGAGCAGGGAAACAGAATCCAATAATTATACCAAGTAATAGAACCCCATGTATGGAATTATACTAAGAAAGACAATTTAAATATATTGTACAGAAGATGTAATAATTTTGAAATCCAGAAGAAGTTTGAAAATAATTTATTGTTGTTTGTCAATTCTGTGGCCTTTTTAATATATATATTGAATATATTTTTTCTAAATTATTAATTATTTAGCAAAATATTTTAATATTTTTGAAAGATTGGTATACTTTGATATATTGATATTTATATATTTTTTATATATTTTATTATTTTGGAAAAATAAAACATTTTAAAAGCTTACCAAAAAAATATTAAATAATTTGATAAAGATTATTCAAAAATATTAAATCAAGGCCTTTTTTAGTACACAGTGAGTGAAGCCATTATAATAAGGCCTCAATTTAATATAGTTGTGTAAGATTTTCTATTGAATTAATATTTTTGGATACATTTTTAAAATTAATTCATATTTAATATTTTATTTTGCATTATTTAAAAAATATATATATATATATTTATGGTATATTTTTTATATTTGAATACTTTGCAAAAGTTAATTAGAAAAGTATATCCAAAAATATTAAATCATTTGAAACTCGCAGTCCACAATACTAAATCAAGGCCTTAATGAGCTAATAGTTAATGAGAAAACAAATGTACAGGATTTAATTAAAAAGAGTGCAGTTGGGGATTTCGCTCTCCACTTGAAATTCTGTCCAACATTTTGCGCAGGTTGATGAGTAACTCTGTGAAATTAAATTTCCCAACTGACGTACAGAACATGTACATGGCTGCACACAGCATCACAAAGGCAGGGTCACTCTTTAGACTTGCAAGAGAGTTGGTACGAGAGTCGGGTAGTGTATTTCCCAGCTCTCTGTTTGACAGGGTGTCTAGATAGAACCAGATCTCCTCTTTAAAGCCCTATTTTGTCAGTTTGGCAAATTAGTGAATTAAAAGACTGTAGGTATGCTATATTGGCCCCATAAACTTTTTAATAAGCTAAAGTAGCAATGGTGACTTATACTGTACCTGAAGCACATAAACATATAATATTAGGTCTGTGTCAGCCATACTTAAAAAATACATAAAAATATGCTTTTTGTTTTTAAATGTGTAGTAGTAACTAACATTTTCATTGAGTGTGTCCCCGTCCTCATCTAATGCATATCCCAAATATTGATCTTGTTAACATGTTGTTTCTACGTGTCCATCACTATTCTATGTCTACTCTCCCCCTTCTGTTCTCTTTCCTAACATTTACAAACTCCTCTGCCGTCATGATTCCAAAGCATCCCACACATACATATAGGTGAATACGAATGTTAGAGTTGCCATAGCAACATAGAATGGGCTGGGGCAAAACCAATGTGCAAATAATATAATTAGAGGCCTGGTGCTGCTAGTAGCCTGACCCGCCTGCTTGCCTTATCCTGAGACTCTCAATGAACACACTGCTGCAGTCAACACGCTTTGATTTACTTGCATTGATTGATGTTTAACTTCTATTGCATGAACTTTGGGTTCTTGGTATATGATTGTTTTAACTTGTCTTTTGTTTTTTCTTCACTTTTTCCACTTTTTTTTTTATCTCAACATTTTACTTCCGCTTCACCTTTACAGCATTGCATTGAAATCCATGACTCAACTCAAACCATGGTGGAAAACAGATTACCAGAAACAGTCATTTGGGACATTATATTTGTTAATTTCAAATATGCGATAGAGTGGGTGACCGTGTATAAGCCCTAAAAATTAGAATGTTGATGAAGCGCTGGACACTTATATTGTGCCCTTAATGTACAAATAATATTTGATCTTTGAAGGGGATTGGTGCAATACACCATGTGATAAACTCATCACACTTAAGTATAAATTTGTAGCATTGTGTACAATATATACATATTTATTTATTAAAATAAAAACCCTTCCCCTATTAAATGTATTGGTTTGCGTAAAGATCACGTGTGTCTTTAAACAAGATCTCTTCGTAAATTGAATGAACATAGCATATTGTGTTTTACAAATCTCTGAAAAAAAATGATGAGGAATAATATTCTAAAACGGAAAGACAGATCGATTGTTCTCCCAAAGGAGATATGAATTTTATCGATTGACCTTTATATTTTCCATTAATTACATAATTCTATAACTTCATTATAGGATTTAAAGTCCTCTGTGGAGACTATAGATAAGGAGAATGTTGTAATACCTACAAGGTCACTTTGAAAATATCATCCTTAACTAAAGTCCTCAATTTAACGTTGTTGGGTAAGCTTTTCAAGTAATTTTAGTATTTTTGGATAAACTTTTAAATTACTTTTTTTCAAAATATTAAAATATCTAAATTGGGAGAAAAAAAATCTAAATAGTATGAAATTAAAATATTTTTCATAATATGAAATAATTTAAACGTTTACCCAAAATATTAAAATATTTGCAAAGCTTATTCAACAATAATAAATCGAGGTCCAAGTTTAAACAATTTATTCCAAATATTACCCTGGTAAAGTGAGTCATGGTCCCAACTTTCACCTTGTCCACTATTACTAATAATCTTTTTTTTTTTTTTTGAGAATAAGGACTTCCAAAAAGGTTACCATCTCATTTCAGATAAGACCTTTTTTTAAATGTATTCATTGTTACCTTCTTTCACAGCAGCAAGGAAAATGTTGCCAAATCTGAAACCAGGTAAATTTTACTTTAACTTGCACACTATTTTTTTCCAGACTTAAAAAAATAAAATGTAAATAAATTAAGCACAAACCTCAAAACACGAGATCATGGTTATATTTTATTCTGCTATAATAATTTTGATAATGAATGGTATGATTAATTGTATAAGGTCTGCAGTTCATATAAAAATGTGTCGCGTTAGTCAGCTAATATTGAATTACTTTGCAGCTTTCTGGACTTAGGTTCAACTTTATCAACATCAAAGAATCTATATATTTAAAGTTGTGTATGGTATTTCAGTCCACATCAGTCTTTTTGCATATGTTAACGCACAGAATTTATAAAAAAAATTAATCTGTATATAACGTAAAAATATTTTGTTTGTTTTTTTAAACAATTAGTTGTGGTCAGTTGAAAATTAACTTGCCCTATTTTTATCCAAAGCATTGCGTTTTTTGTTAACACGATATATACACAAAAAATCTTTAATTTAGCCTAATTGGAGTATTTTGTTGGCCTGCATGAAGCAATTTGGTTATAGGGTCACCACATCTCTTATTTAGTAAACCACAAAGTATGTTCATTATGCATGCTTTTCTCAAACATATATTTTATTAGTTTGTAAACACATTGTTGTAGCTTTAACAGAAATCTCATTAAATGATTGCTCCATCACACAGGAAGGCAAAGACAGCCATGTCTTGTCAAAATTGTATATAACAGAATGAAAGATATCGGACACTATATAAATCATAGGTATCTACTGTATTTACTAGAATCTAATACGCAAAATAAAGTTTCCAAAATGTGAATGTGTATTAAATTCAACGGCGCATTACATTTGGGGATCGTGGTTTTATTTAGAGAGTAGAGATTCAGGATTTGACTTTCAGAAATTAGTTAGGACATGTGTGCTTATTTATCATTAGGCATTTTTGAATCCTTAAAGGAACACTATAGCGTTAGGAATACAAATATGTATTCCTAATGCTATAGAGCCTTAGTCACCGTTAAGGTGACCAGGGCCCAGTTCCGTGGCGAATAAATGGTTTATTAACCATTACCTTAATCCAGCGCCGGGCTCCCTCAGCACCTCTCCTCCTACATCGATGTCAGCTCCCAAGTGGAGCCGAATGCGCATCCGGGGCCAGAGGCGCACGCGCATTCAAACCCTCCCATAGGATTACTCCTGCGAGGATGTCCAGCGTCAAATAAGTGCGATTTACTCCTTGTAAATCGCGGAAGTGGCTTCTAGTGGCTGTCAGTGAGACAGCCACTAGAGGCTGGATTAACCCTGCAATGTAAACATATCAGTTTCTCTGAAACTGCTATGTTTACAGCTGCAGGGTTAAATCTGGGGGACCTGGCACACAGACCACTTCATTGAGCTGAAGTGGTCTGGGTGCCTATAGTGGTCCTTTAAAAGAACACTGTCATCATTTTTAAATATATTCATTTATATTTCATATGTATTTTGACATTTAGCAGTTCAACATGACCGGATTCTCATTCTTCCACCTCAAACAGCCTCTAGTCATAGACTAGTGGACCTTGCTACAAACAGGAATCTAACGGTGCCTTACAATTAACATCATCTTCGTGCTTACAGGAAAGAACTATTTGCAGTTTTCTGATTAGCAAAAACCCTCAGAAGTCTAACTCTTGGCAGATATTATATGGGATTTATCCAGACAATACTCTAGAATTAGTTGTATTAGGTTATTGAGCTTACTAACGTTGGATGAGAAGTCATATTGATGGGCTACTCAATTACGGTATTCAATAGCTATACAAGTACTTTAATGTAAGGAACTTCGTCTTGGTTCCATTCCAAGAATTGTTTGTTACTCAGCTCTGCAGGTACTACAATGACACAATCTGCCATCTCAGGGGCCTGGCGTCCATCTAACTCAACTGCAGTGGATGACAGCCCAGTCCATAACAAACCAGTGTCCTCCCGAGGTTTCTCCGTGAGGTTTGGGGCTGATTCCAGTCCAAGAAAGGCCACTTACACCAGCACTGGCCAGAATGTTCAAAAACCATCACCCCCTATTACGTCTACTTGTAAAAGGTATAACGTAACAAAAATTAACCCCTTAACCAACCTGCTTTTTGTAGCCGCAGGGGTTGTAATAATACTTTCCTAACATAACTCTAGTGAAAATCAAATATTAAAAAGTCAACCTAACAGGCCTATTGGAACATCTCAAGTACATGGATAATGAACTATGTTAACAAATTACATGTGTGTTTATCATGAGGTGGTATAAAGAAAATCATTAAGACAAGTTATATAATTCTTCTTAAGGACTAGTTACTTTACTAGACAGTTATCCAGAAAGCTATTGGTTGGTTCTTTTTACAATTTAACCCCTTAAGGACCGAGGACGGTTCAGGACCGTCATCGGCATTTTTGCCTTGAGGACCGATGACGGTCCTGAACCGTCCTAACGGTCAGAGCTACTTACCTGATCGCCGTCGTTCCCCCGGCGGCGATCATGTGGCTCCGGTTGTGGGGAGACTGCCTGCAGCCCAGACAGTCTCCCCACGGCAGATTAGGACCCCTGTGGCCATGTGATCGCTTAACACAGCGATCACATGGTCACAATAGGTGTCCATAGTGTCTGCCTGCAGGGGGACTGTCTGTGCTGACAGGCAGTCTCCCTGCATGTGTAAAATCAGAAAAAATAAAAATAAAGTTAGTGTTAATTAAAAAATAAAAAAATTATATATGTGTATATATGATATATAGACATATATTATATCTATATAATATATGTCTATATATCATATATATAGAATGCCATACTAAGTGTATTTTTATATTAATATGTACTTATATTAATATAAAAATACACTTATAATTAAATTACACACGTATATATATAATATATATAATAACTATATATATTGTATATATATATTATTATAAAATATAAATAATAAGTAATTTAAATTAAATAATTTTTTAAAAATAATAATAAAAATTTTAAAAAAAATTATATATCTATATGAAATTTTATTCTAACTGTATTTTAAAATGAATATATATATATTTATATCAAAATACACTTAGAATGAATTTGTATATATATCTATGTATATAAAAATAAATAAAAATAATAAGAAATATACATACGTCCATATACAAAATTACATAAATAATTATATAAATATACACGTAGACTTCAAATATATAAATATGCATATATATTTAAATTCTACGTGCGTATTTATGTAATATTTTTACATAATTCAGTAATTTTATTGATTGCAATTTGAGGGACCTGCCTGCCAACCCAGGCCAAAATTCCAGAGAATTTAATTTGCTAGCACTGTATTTTACCCTGTAACGTTCTACGACACCCTAAAACCTGTACATGGGGGGTACTGTTTTACTCGGGAGACTTCGCTGAACACAAATATTAGTGATTCAAAACAGTAAAACATATCACAGTGATGATATTGTTAGTGAAAGTTACTTTTTTGCATTTTTCACACACAAACAGCACTTTTACTGATGATATAATTGTTGTGATACGTTTTCCAGTTTTTAAACACTAATATTTGTGTTCAGCGATGTCTCCCGAGTAAAACAGTACCCCCCATGTACAGGTTTTATAGCATTTTGAAAGTTACAAGGTCAAATATATGGGTCAAATATTTTTACATTGAAAATGGCCAGGTTGGTTACGTTGCCTTTGAGAGCGTATGGTAGCCCAGGAATGAGAATTACCCCATGATGGCATACCATTTGCAAAAGAAGACAACCCAAGGTATTGCAAATGGGGTATGTCCAGTCTTTTTTAGTAACCACTTGGTCACAAACACTGGCCAAAATTAGCGCTCAATTTAGTTTTTTTACTTTTTTCACACACAAACAAATATGAATGCTTACTTTGGCCAGTGTTTTCGACTAAGTGGCTACTAAAAAAGACTGGACATACCCCATATTGAATACCCTGGGTTGTCTACTTTAAAAAAAATATGTACATGTGGGGTGTTATTCAGAGATTTATGACAGATAATAGTGTTACAATGTCACTATTGATAAATTTTAAAAAATGTATGTTTTGAAACCGCAATATCCTACTTGTACCTATAGCCCTATAACATGCAAAAAAAAGCACGTAAACACTGGGTATTTTTAAACTCAGGACAAAATTTTGAATCTATTTAGCAGTTTTTTTCATTCGCTTTTGTAGATGAGTAAAAGATTTTTCAAGTAAAAGTCAAAAAACATGTATTTCTTTCAATTTTTCATCAGATTTTTGTATTTTTTTAAATTAAAAAACATGAGATTATATAAATAATGGTATGTAAAGAAAGCCCCTTTTGTCCTGAAAAAAACAATATATAATTTGTATGGGAACAGTAAATGAGAAAGCGGAAAATTACAGCCAAACACAAACACCACAAAAGTGTAAAAATATGCCTGGTCGCAAATGTACAACATCGCAAAAACAGTCCAGTCCTTAAGAGGTTAAAAAAAAAAAATATATATATATATATACACTGAACAAAATTAAAAACGCAACACTTTTCTTTTTGCCCCCATTTTTCATGAGCTGAACTCAAAGATCTAAGACTTTTT